AAGGGCGGCGTGCCACTGAACGCATTAAGCGTGTCATTTTTAGCAGTTGTTGTTGCACAATCGCCACTGATTTGATTTAAGTTTGCTGAGTTTGCCAACGCGTCAAGTTTGTGCGGGTTACGCGTTTACTCGCACTTACAACAAAATTGCACAGCACTGTGATCACCCTATGTGGCGCAACTGTGCTATGGGAAATAGTTTCCGAAAATCAATCATGCGTAGCTGCTGGCATGCATGAGAGGCTGCAGGGGGGCAGTGGGCAGCTGCACTGATTCGATTGGGGGAAAATGCATAATCTTGTTGTCGACGCTGGCAAGTTCACTGACTGAAGCTAATTGAGCAGGAGAAAGGTAGCGGAAAGCAATTTGTCATTTGATTGAAAGTGAGTTTGATTTATACAATGGGGTCGATAATGAGGGCAACTTGTGTCAGCCAGATAACTACAGAAATGTACATTAAACGGAATAGTCTACGGTCTTAGCAAAAGGTATTCACGGGTTAACAACTAGGCTATACCTGTCTATACTCCACTTTACCACTACTCGTAATTAGCGATAAGATATTCAATTGAAGTACTCTGACTCTAATTGATTGATAATAAATGTGCCGCTTGTTTTGGCCAAGTGCTGCACGTTTCTTATCAATATGAGTATGGGCTCTTTTGCACGTACTGCATACATTGAACTCTCCTGCCCTTAACTCTGTTGATACGCTTTTGTTGTTTTCTCTTTCATCTGATTAATGAAAACAGAGCTTAAATTGGAAGGGAAATTGCTGTCACTCACTCCAGTTGATATGGTTGTTGTTGCTGTTGCTTTTGCATTGTCGGCAATTGCATTAAAGCAACGCTGTTGCCAGTCTTAGCTGTAGTCAACGTTCCCTGGCCCCATCGTTCCATCATTAATATACCGCATCAGTTTAATTTAATGCAACGCAGCAACTTTATTAAGCAGCAACAGAAACAGCAAAGTTGTCGACAACAACATGCGGCTATAGCAATTTCTATTAACGCGCCTTAAGCCCCTTTCCCCACTCACACTTAGCACTTTTAGGTCGCTTTGTTGTTGTTGCTGCTGCTGTCGCTTATCACCCGTTTGTTACAGTCGATGTCATACGATAAATGTACGTAGTATCGACTACCCGTTCTCCTGGAGTATATGAACTCGTCTATGCTATACCACAGAATTTGTTCAGGTCACGTTACTGCTGTTCCTGTCTGGATTTGACTGGCATTGCCGGGCGCCCATTCAACTAGCAGCGTCGATGTCTGCAATTGATTTGATTGTTGCAGGCATTGCGCATATCTCAGATATATACTCATTCATGCTAAAGCGTCTGCCTGTGGCCCCTGGTCGCGTCCACTATCAGCGTCTGCACCCAGTTATATGCTTCTGTCTGGATCTAGCTGTCAAATCGTCGCGCCATGATATGCAACTTTGATAGGCAACATCGGCAATTGGCACGATATTTGATTTGATTGACATGGTGCCTAGCTATGGCCCGTCGCAAAGTTCAGTTGGGGCATTTTACAATTTGACGGCACCTTTGTCGTGTTATCTGTCAGGCACTGCTCTAATCAGCAATTTTTGCATATTTCATATGGTATATGGCTCGTTTCTAAATTTCTATTAAGCTAGCGACTATTTCTGCCAGCTTACTTATGTCATGTCAGTAGCATGCGGGCCGTAACGTTATTTTTCTTGCAATCTGAAAATGCCAGTAAATGTGTCATGTGTCTTCAATTTGCACATGCACGTAGTTGTTATCGTAGCTTTTTGTGAGCTGCATTTAGATGCTGAAGCGGCCACAAACATAGCAACAATATTGTTATCGGAGTAGCTTAGACAACGATTGTTGGCTCTTCTTGTGGGCAAGCAACAAGCTTCGTTAACTTTGACCTGCCTATCAACAGCAAAAACAACAAATATAGATACTGTAACCCCTCTCGAGCCCATTGTAGTAATAGTTCAAATTCTGATTGTCTGGCAGCCGCACACACACACCCTCACACAAACAAGGCAAAACAACAGCGCATGGAAAAAAAATATGCTTCATGCAAACAACAAAAAAAGTATATAGGATGTACAGGCAGACAGTAGAAAACAACAACGACGGCGGCAAAGTTAGCGGCACAAAAAATGGACTCTGCCGCATTTCCGGCAGCAGTCAACATGGCGGATGGTCGTGACGCCGCTTTCTGCACAAATAATAAAAAACAACTCCACTACGGTGGCCGCTTGTTCATATTTTTGACACTCGTTCTCCTTGTTATCCCCATAACAATGGAAGCTTTATAACTTTGCCATGGCGCTTACAAGGCAGGAAAAAAGTGTCCTACAGCTATGTTAATCTCAAAGTGAATGACATCCTTAGCCCTTCTAACCAAGCAATCACATTGAGCGCGCATCAGAGTTCTTTGCTTAATCCGGATCTTAATGAATTCGGCGACTATCGCGGTATATCAAGCTTATTTGCTGGTAAATTTGTTGTATATAATGTAGATTTTTTGTTACACAGATCAAAAATGTTTCTATTTATGGATACCTTCCACCGTCCCCAAAGAAAGAAAAATTTGCATTTATAAATGCCATATTTATGCCCTTTTTGTGTGGGTGTTTTGCGTATAAAGATATAGATAGAAAAAAGATAGTAGGTTGGCAACGGCAGCTTGCAACAGAGTTCAAGGTGTCTCCTTGTCGGGCACTCTTACTTATTTTTTCTTGAAGCTTTGAATGATTGTTCTTGTAGATTGTTCAAACTTGGTCCTCAGTAGCGCAATTGATTGCATTTCACACAACATTCGACTCGTTTAAGATTTGACGATCTCGCATACATATGTATCTGCCATGCTAACGAAAGTGTCTCCTCTCTTTGCAGCTGTGCGCAGTTTGCGCCCCTAGCGGAGCGGTTGCAGCGGTTCCGGCAGCGACAGCAGCGTTACAATAGCGCTGATATCAACGATAACGATTTATCAGCTGAACAAATAGGCGTTTCCAATTTGCATGGGCATAGCGAGAACAGCAACAACAGCAGCCACTGCAAATCTGCCGTTCGACGTTCCAGCGCAAACGCCAGCGCTGCAGTTGACTCCACCGAGCGCTGCTCAACTGACGCGTTAGAGGAGGCAGTTTCCGAATTTGGAATCCAGCAAAGCGAGAGTGGCAATAAGGAGTCAGCGCCACGACGACGTGTGCTCATCAAGCGGCGCATTGTGCGCTCGCCACGCGCCCGTGACGCTGCAGCATCACCAACTTCCGGCTCCCCGCACATGCAGGCAGCCAGGCCAGAGGAGAAACAGGATTGTCATCTCGACTGGCTTTCAAGGCTGCGCAATTTTTGTGCCACCCAGTCCAACAGCAAGCCGGAGGGCTCCACAGCAGCGGCTTTTGCTCCACGACAATTAAATAGCAACAACAGCAATAGGAGTGCTTCTCCTTCGCCCATTATGGCCGTCCTGCGTACCATGAAGCTTAAAGAGCGTCTGGCTATTAGCCTGGGAGCGACGCTCGTGCTGCTCACGCTGCTGCTCATTGTGGATGTGCAAATGGACTTTGGGGTTGCAAACCGCCATCTGCTGCAGCAACAGCATCAAAAGCTGCGCTTTGGCAATAACAATGATTACAACGAAGTTGCCTCGGCCGGAGGCGGAGGTATGCTGCACGAGTTTAAACGAAAGTTCCTGCAAAAGAGGTAAGAAACGACTTAGAATTTTGTTTCATTTTCGGTACAATTAGATTTTTAAGTCTCAGTGAATTTACCTGATAATCAAGGCATATTTTTATTATTTTTTATTTTTTTTTTATTTATACATTTTACCGAGAAGTAAAGTTTACTCAGTTCACGAACGGAGCCCAAAAGCAGGAAGTTTGTTCGTATCGTCAACCAAACTATGAACAATTTCTTTTGGGCTTGCAACCCTGCTGAGAATACAGACTGTTTTCTATTTGTAAAGAGTGTAGTGCGCATAGTTTTTGTAATTTATAGTGCATATTTCACAAGAAATCTTAAGTACTAAAACCTACGTACTGATGCCTATTAAGTATTTAGAAAACAACTCTGCTGATTAACTTTCAGTGCATTCGCTAGTAACAGGTAAATAATAGTTACTATCCGGGCATTGCTCCCGCATAGTAGCTCGTCACCGCCGCTGGCACACCCCCCATGTCGTCTATTATATATAATTTAATTTTTCAAATGCAACAAAAGTTGCAATAAACCATGGCTGGCCTGGCATTAAAACGTAATTTTCTGTAAGCAGGCCAGCGGTTGCTGGAACTTAAGACAGCGCACGGTCAGGACAAACGTTCCTGGAAACTACGACTCCATGTAATAGCAACAACAATGGCCGTAACAGACATCTTTACCACTGCGTGCAGCTTTCTATGCTTACCATACCCCTGCACACACATACACACACACACACACACGCCGAAACGGGCCAATTGGCCAACTCGCAATTGCGCTTTTACGCTGCCTTCAACATGCTGCTCCTTTTTGTCGTATGTGTGTGGGCGTATGTTTCAGAGGGCAGCCAGTTTTATGCTGCGGCTCGCGGAAGTCATGTAATAAAACACGAAAATGACGCAGCTACCCACAAGACGTGCTGCCAAGACAGGCAAGACACGCTTCCGTCTGAGCCAAGCAACCTGTTAGCTAGAAATTCATCCCATAAGCTCCCAGGTGCAGCGACTGGAGCTATATTGCGCCATCCACCACCTAGTAAGGAAACATAAAACGCGAATGTATAGTTGGTAAAAATTTAATTAATTCATAAGCCGATTGGTGCTGCCTCTAAAAGGGTTTTCATATTTTCTTTGGCTCGGTTCGTACACCTAATACCAACCTGGAGAAAATCCATGCGGTTCAGCGTGTAATTAAAGCGTTAAAATTCTATGTGAGCTTCAAATATCTGATGTTGCTTTGTCTGGCTTGATATTTGAAATAATTCATAAGATCTACTTATATATAAATTTAACCATCATCATAGTAATACTATAAATACTCTTGGTTATCTGCAAATAAGAGAAATAATATTATTTAGTCGCATAATTTGCAGCACTCACTGACCTGCAGAGCAGAGCTAACAGACAGCGGCATCACTCCAAGCAGTCGAATCACACCCGGTTGCTGACTTTTGACTAGCATAAAAAACACGAAGCGCTGATGTTCAGCGCGCAGATCGTAGAACGATATGTTGTACATCTCGTACATAACGTTGTCATTCTTAAGGGGATAGAATATTTTTGATTAATTTCAGACATTTAACTTTGGCTGATCTGCAACATACGCAGCTCTCGAGCATTGTCCCAAGTACGCAATAGAGATACAAGTTGGAAACGAGAATACATAGATAACAGTAGCCCCCTAACCACTCGCTAGTAAGCAACGCAAAGATTGTTATGACAATGCACAAGGCAGAGGATGCAACCTGAACGGATACCAATATAAAAAACATGTCATTGCACTTGGCTATGAATCTGTAAAGGCAGAGGTTACTCATTGCGTGCGAACTTTGGTCCGTTTTTACTCACGTTGTAAAGATCTGGTGCCACCTTGCAATATCAACAAGCATCTGGGAGGTCTGATATTGTAGCTTATCGTTTTGTACTATGTTGACATGCGTATTTAGCGCATCCACCTTGAATTTCAAAAAATCCGCATAGACAAAAGATTGCAGCAGATAGACTATGATAACCATGTCTCCTGCATACAGCCCAGTTCCACCAATAACAACGCATACGCAATGCACTGCTAGGGTCACCCAGCCACCCAGTTTGGTATTCACATCTAAGCCGGGTAGATGAAAGTGCATACTTAAATAGGTATGGCCAGTTATAATGGATGCCACAACCGTTGTGAGGATGATTCCGCAGACGCCAATCACGTAGATGGCGCCAACCAATAACAGAACGCGTTTTAGCTTGCTACAGTTGTTTAAGAGTGCTTTTGGATATCTGGGATCATGGTCCTTTTCGAAGTCCAAATATATGTTCTCTATTTGCAGGTAGAGCTCTGATACTGTGCGGGCAGAAAGGATTCCAACGCATAACTTGTTGATGCCTTGCACCACGCTGCCGGTCGTAGCAAATGCCTGTATCAAGAACATCCAGTTCTTCTTGAATTCCTTGAACACAGTTACGCTCGTAAAGCACATGTACATTATGATGGAGCCCGTTGTAAAGGCTGTGATAGTGTTAAACCGATAACTCGGATCGTAGGCATCGACACCAATGCAGCCCGATATAAAGCGCACAAAGCGCATAATGTTGCGAAATATTTCACTTGGTCGCGGCGACATTGCACACTTTGATGGGCTCTTTGTCCGAACAGTAGCTTATATAGTCACCAATCTGGGACCTTAGCCAGCTGCAGTTGACACGTTCCTGTCTTCCTTGCAGCCTTGCAAATTTGCTTAACTGCTTGAGAGATCATAAATCAGACGTCACCTGTGTCACGCACGACACATGACACCTTAATAAGGAATCTCTGTCATTAGTTTAATTAAATGCACGCAACTTCGCGCATCGATGGCATTGACAATCCTGCCACGTTGCTGGTTAGCTGCAATCAGCCATATAATCTGTTCTGGCCCCAAAAACAGCTTTGAACATTACATAAAAGGTTTAAATAAAGTTACGGGGTTTGTGCATAGAGTGTGAGGTCTGATTCGTCGGTAAGGCTTGAATGTACATGCAACAAAGTCAGATTATTGCCAAAAATAACAGCATTATCTGCCCTGCTTCTGACGAATGAGAGCCAGACACCAATTAGAGTTGAGGAACTTCTTAATTAAAAGAGCTTCAACCCAAGACAACATGTAAACGATGTAGACATACAAATTGAATTTAATATGTGTATTTCTCTAAGCGAGACAAATAGATTAAATAAATTCACAAAGCGATACAAATAGCTTAAAAAATACACATATTAAATTCAATTTGTACATCGGGCCGATTCGGGGGGATAGCATAGGGACCCTCTGCATGAAAATCTAATTCGCCAATGTTAAGCCAGTAAACATTTAATTAATTAATAAGTCATTTTTGCTCAGAGCCAAAGGAAACATGATCACCATTTGGCAGGTCATGTTTCCTTTGGCTCTAACCCTCAATATATCAAATAATTAGTGCCGTGACAAATGAATAATTCTACATGTGGTCCGGAGTGATGTTGATACGATGCACATTTAAATAAGCATAATTATTTGACGGTTTTTTTTCCGCTCTCCGCCTATCGTTTGAGATTTGGACAGGTTAATTATTTGTAAGGTCAAAACGGATTCTAACTCCAATTGGGCGACCCAAGAAGGGGCAGCACCAATTTTGTTATTTATAAATTATTAATTATTAATGTAGAAATTCAATCAACACAATGTGTAGCTACAAATATATTTCGTTATCAGCAAATGCGCGCAAGCATTTTTTTTTTTAAGAGCTATAATTCGAATCGATCATTGACCTGCAGAGCAAAGCTAACGAACACGCCGAATCACATCCGGTTGTTTATTTTTCCCAAGACTCTGATAGAATTAAAGCGATAATTCGGATCGTAGGCATTAACGCCACATAATACTCTTATCGATTTCGCTGAGTGCTGAAGAAATTTTTGTATGTGCAGGGATCTGTTTATAAACAAAAGTTTATACTAACCAGTCTGGAAGCGCAGTCAGCTGTACTTGACACTAACCAGAATGAGCCAGTGGTATATTCAATATCTAAACTGGTTAATTAACCACATAATGTTGCATACCTGAGTGAAGATAATGCTCCACGCATCACACGTGACACTTTAATGAGGAAATTTGTCGTTGGTTTAATTAAGTGCAGGCCACATCGAGCATCGATCCATGCTGCCGTGTTGCCATATTGTCATGTTGCGTTACATAGCTGTTGCTAAATAATGCGAGTGACTTACCTGACACGTGGCTTGTTAGCCACAATCACATAATGTATGTCTGACCGGAAAATCAATGTGGTCTGTTGCATAAATATATTTAAATGGAGCCTAAGTACTTTTGCATTTCTAACTGGTGGTAAACTGATTTAATGTATACGTGCAACAAAGTAAGCTCATTGTCACACATAATGTCATTACGTCGCATGCTTCAGTGTACGACGGCATTAAACGCGTAAAATCTGCTGAGCCTCGTTAAGCGGTGTGCGTTATGAGCCCTTCGGCAATGACAAAGACAGTGAGCAAAAGGATCCGACGCTCTAAAGCGGCTGTAAAGTTTAAGCTTGCCGGCAACTGTTAATTGAAAAAGTTTCGCACTTCGCCCGCCGCTGCACATGTGCGCACCTTTTGACTGACGCCCAGAGACAAGCCCAGAACAAAGACATTTAATATGGGCATCAAGATGGTGAGGTAGTAAAAAATAACCTGAAATTGTTGCGCACTTAAAAATTCAAGCGACAATGCACAAAGTTTTGCGGCTGAGTTGAAGCAATTTGCAGGACTTGATTTGAGCCAACTCTCAGCGCGTAAGCCCTTCGTTTAATGATGCAACATCCGTCTTTTGCATTTTACCAACTTGTCGTAGGCATATTTGAAATTCATTTTAATGACCAAAGCGAGCAGCACTCCAATTACGAGAAGCACACGCGCAACTGCCGAATATTATGATAACAAGCAGCTGCAAGAACCTGACTGCCATCGGCTCCAAGTTCAAAGTAAGCCAAACAACAACAGCAACTGAGATGAGCTGAGTGAAAAGTCTCATAGATGTAGCTTGCATGGCCCAGTCTTATAAGAAAATAGCTGGTGGACTAACAGATGTGTGGACCATGTATATATATATATATATGTATGTTTACATTTTATAAATACTTTTCTAGTGTCGTTCACTGTTTAGCCAATGACACAATTTAAGCTGGCTCTTATAGAAAAAGGCCTCTCAGCTTGTAATCCTGGCCACAACAGTCAAGATGAATGTGCGCTTGTGTGTTTGGGTGTAGGGCATAGGCCTAAGATTAAATGTAACTATAGCGTAGCTCGACCTTGTGGGCAAGTCCTTTAGCGTGCAACTTGCGCCAGTCGGTTGTGTGCGCAGTGCATTAGTTGAGCGCCAGAGGTACTTGTGAATTGCAATTAGCAGTAACTGACTAGGCCCATTATAAAGTGTGCCTGGAATTCAAAATAATGTTTTCCTTTTTTAACGCACTTTCTTACAGCAACTCTTCAGGCTCCAAGGAGGCTTCAACTCAGGCTCAACCCTCGGGCAGTCAAAGTGGCGGCACAACGAGTGGCCAGGAGACGGTAGTCGCTGGTTCTACGCTCACCACGCGAAAGGTAACGCCACACGATCGGTATGTGGATCTGCAGAAGCTGCTGGTGTCTGACGAGTACGTTCATGTCATAGTTGATAATGCGCCAGATGTGACGGTTAACAACCCCACGCTGGCAGAGATGCTGCATCGCCAAGTTGGGTGAGTGATATTGAGTAGTTAAGTGTTATTGTTAATAGCAGACAAGCGGAAGCTGGACAAAAAATTCAATTTCCCTTAAGCGGAAGGCATAATGCTTAGTGTTTTACCTACCTTCTTGCTTACCTTCGTACTTTGGTTTGCATTGCCAGATTACGGTTTCACTTACATCTGCCAGGCGCGTAGGCCGACTTCTGTAATTGTGGAGATGGCAGCCACCCAAGCCACCCACCAAGACTACGTACATTTTCAGCCTGCCCGTGTGGCGTACGATTGAAGCAGTTACGGTTCCTTTTGGCTTTGGTAGAATTGAAATGATTTTATTGAAATTTACGCTCCATTTACGTGACACATTTAGGTTTTAGATGCTTACTCTAACGTTAACATTTCCGCATCCGGTTGCCCCTGCTCCATCCTCATAAGTGTTAGTGGATTGTTGGTGCTGCGGTTGACGTTTCCGCTTATGTTGTTGTTGTTGATGTTGACAACGATTGCATGCGTGATGCCACTCGCTGATGGGTCTGATGAGATTTTAGCTCTATGTTACAGTACTTGTCTCAACATTGCGTATACGTAATTTTATATGAGCGCAATCAAATAAACTTGCAATAAAGAAATCAATGCGGATTGGGTACCATAGCTGCCCCAGCTCTCATTTAATGTAGCAAGGGATTTTTCCTCGCTGCAAATTCATTTGATTTCCTTGCACAGTAATCAGCTTAGGTTTTACCTTCTTCCGTTCCGTTCACGAAAAGTCGTGCAGCTGCTTCATCGTCGTCGCTGCTTCGAATCAGTCTGGCAGTCTTTATAAAAATTGAAAACGTGGCGTATGAGTAATTTCATTTACTCGAATAGCTGGCGCACAAGAAAAGTAGGAAAAATAAAAGTAAAGTGGTGAAAACTTGTCAAGCTAAAAGTATGTTATTCTTAGCGCTGGCGTTTCGTTGCCGTCTGAGGGTGTTGGCATTAGCATAAAATTCTTGATTTTCTAATTTATCGCACATCACCGAAATAGAGTCAAATGTTTTTTGCGCTGCACGTAGCACAAATGCAAATTTCATTATCAAGCAAAATTGCTTGCAGTAAACGTGCAAAAAAAAAACAGGAAGGTTCTAGCTATTATTGCTAGACTTTTAGATACTCTGTGTATAGCTCAAATAGGATCAGACACATCAACGAATACGTATGTATTTTACTTAAGTGTTTATTCTAAGCTGGAAATGCTTTAACTGACAAATTTAAAGTACATATTCTCTTCTAAGTAACATAAATTTGGTAGCAATATCGCATTGTTTTAAATATGGTGCAGGACATAGTCGCAATTCGATCTATGCTCTGGCTCTGCTGTTACAGCTTTCGTCAGTGATATCTCATTAAAATTCCGTTTCGCGGGCTGGCATTGTTAGCTGCTATAGTAGACGCGTGCCGAGCTCATGTGGCTTAGGCCGCCTTCTGCCTTGTCTCTTTATTGTCAGGGTGCGGGCTGTGGCAGCTTTGTCAGCAGTTTTGTGACGATTTTTTCAAGCATGCAACGACGCTCAGGTGGCTTTGTTAGAAAATGCAGCTTACAGAAAATGCAAATCTGCCTAAAAATTACTGTATGATATATGAAGAGCAGTATGGTAGCTGGGTAGCTTACTAGTATAAGCTGCGCTCTTTATTGGCTAAAACATAATTAGGTACATTTTTCACGTTTTGATGATGCAGTGCTGCAGCTGCCACTGATTTACCATAAGCCGCAGGGTCCTGCTGTCGTCCTGCTGTTATCCCGTCACGTCTTTTCATGGCGTGCATTTAATTAGTATGACAAATTTTTAATTAGCCCGCAATTGCGACCACGTTGAGCTGGGACAGTAATCTTATTTCAAACGAATTACAGCCGAATAACAAGAGACAAAAAAAAAGAAGAAAAACTCGCTAACCAACTGCAAGTTAAGCAGCTGTTGGCCCGGCCCGCATCTGACTGCGGATGGCATTGCGGTTGCCACAGACGCGTCCTAATAAAAGACTATGCTCAATGTCGGCGAGTGTGTTAAACTAAAGTACGCTGACATTTTGCCAGCTAGCATGGATATTCCTTATTCAGTTGCCGTCGCAGCAGCAGCTGGCTCGCTGTCACTGGTTTTAATGTTCGCGCTCTGCCGCGGCTGAAGTTTATCCTTGTTGCCTGGCAAACGCAACAATATAAGTTTAATTTTCGCTTTGTTTGCGTTGTTTTTGCAACTCAGTTCAAAGTGTCCGCCTGTCGGCTGTCGGCTGTCGCCTGTCGCCGCTAGAATCTTGGCCGCGGTTGCGTTGTTGGGCTATTCGCTGGTTGTCTGCTTGCCACAATTTCACACGCACAAAGTTTTTCACTTTCTAAGCACTCGGCCAAGATCTGGAAGTGGTTGTGCCCTGGTGCAGCTGTAAACGGAATCGGAGATGGCAAAGTTTACCGACGTTTTCTTATGCTGAAATAATTATGGGGCGGAGGTAAAGTTACAGCGAACGTCTTAGGACACACCCGCAACATGCCGGCTGATAGCAGTTATTGCAACAAATAAAATAAGTCAAGGGTGGGGACAACTACTTCAACTGAGAGCTAGACCCTTAGACAGATTTGGCCAACCGCAAGGTTTGATTAAAGTTAAATGTGCTATAAATACAAAAAAAAAAATACTTTAAATTCTGATATTTTACTTTTCAGTTAAATAGTTTATTTTATGAAGTTGAAAGAGAGGTTAGTCGACAGCTATATATTTGCGATTCAGTAAAATTGAAAATTTTCTTTAAAAGTACTCATATCTAAAATAAAATACAAGAGCAGTTGAATAAAGTTTAATTTTATGTTAATTAACCTGGAATTGCACTTAATGAATATAAACGAGAATACAATCAAAATGCATTTTCCCTTTGTGCAATCTGCTTGGCTTTCCTTTAGTCAACAATAACAAAGATTTTCATCTTGTTGATATGCTTCTTCTCTTA